TGCCCGGGAAAACGCATCGAATTTTAGATGTATTTTGCATCCGGTGGTATAATCTGCTCTAATCTCGAACCATATTTTGTAACTCATCGCATTGTATCACATTTCTGATCTTTATTAGGTATACCCACCAGTTAAAATCAAAAGTGACGTCATACTACTAGATGTGTCGTCATAATACCGGCTGAAATCTAAAAGGTCTGGTAGGGGACATGAACCGCTTGCTTCGACCTGAAACAACTCTTGTATCCCAGTGGTACTTCACCTATTCCAACGTCTACCAGAACGCAAGGAGTAGATAGATCACTGACAAATTCAAGACGTATCGAATATTCATCGATTCTATTCGCGAAATGTTTTTTCAATCTTTTTTCCCTAATTTTCAAGAGAATATCGCGTGCACTCATTATTAATGTAGCATTGAGATTTTTGCAGTGGAAGACTTGTCAACTATTACTAGATTGATTGCGTGAATCGCCTGGTGCATATCAGCAGTGTAATAAAGCATCGGTGTCCTTTTTCTGTAAATTTGAGTTCCAGTCGTTGAAGATGGCTTCGAATAATAAGTACAGATATCTGACTAATTTTGGTTTCTATCCCGCAATTTATTTACCTTGTTTTTATCAAAACGCAAATTTCAATATGGCAAATTTCAGTTCATAATATTTTACATGTATATTGATTTCACATTATAATAATAGTTTTGATTATCTTGATATGATTATTAAATTTTGGGTATTTTTTGGGTACTCATTATTTTGAATTTAATATAAATCAAATTCTTTATACACGCCTAGTTTGAATGTAAAAATTGATTTCGCACGCGAATCACCATCGTTTTCCAATTATACTAGCGATCATTAACTTTTGTGTGTTCTCCCTTTTTCTACAACGATAAACACAAACCCAATTAACATCTTTTGAATGACCTGATCCATTCATGAAATGAAGTTGTGATTGGAGTTAACTTTACAGCCGCGAGTCCGATTTGAAACCGAAATATTTTTATCTGAAGCTTTGAGGAAAGCACAGTTAAAATACATATTCTGTTCAATCAAATAGTGATAATCATTTTTACGCAGCCGTTTTTGATAGCTGCTAACTATTGACAATCAATTAAATGGTTATTTTCTCAATTCAAACTTCATCCAGGACCAGGCACACGCCTGAATACGCCACCTTGTCGTGTCTCACAACTCTGAAAATGCTACCAGATACTGCATTGGATTATATATCCATCCCTATTCCAACAATTGAACACTTATTTATAGAAAATAATTTGAACTTTGAGACGCAATACGTTGAGAAATCCTTATTTCAGATCCAATTCTATTCATGCTCAATCAAACCTAATTTATTATTCCCATATCAATACGTTGTGGCGCCACAAAAGAAAAGGTAAAATGGGCTGTAGTCTCTCTTTTAGACACACAATGTTATACTGTTTTTAAATAAATGGTTTCTGATCGCTTTTATGGACATGAATGGGTTTGTTTTGACTAAAACATGATCAGACGCCGTTAATATACCCACGCCCGTTTGAAAATATTTAGATCTATATTTCAAGGTGAATTGCCGATAAAGGCATCCGAATAACGCCGAAAGATATTTTTGTTTTGAGTTTTTAATGCCATTATTCAAGCGAAAATCCATTGGCATTTCTATAGACATATTCATGTTCAAAAATTAAGGTAAGCCCAACTTGTTCATGTTGGAAATGTATAATCTTTAAGATTCTTTCAACAGACGTATCGATCGAACAGAATAATAGTAAAGTTTGGGCGTTTTTATTTTCAACTTTAAGTAATTTTGATAGTAGTTTTATGAGATGAAATGACCGGATAAAAGCAAAGAAAATCATCTATTTTATCCAACGCAAAACACATTCTAATGTCATGTAAGAACCGGCCTTAAAAATTGAAATGAACTAGTAAGGAGTTTGTATGCCGTAGTCGTTTTGGACTCCTAAAGTGTTTGTCAGAAAGTAATTGCATGAGTAACCAAGGGAAGTCAAACGACAACTCACCAGGTTCTGCAGACAACATAGTATATAAAAGAGTTATCTATCTATCTACGCAACTTAAGTTATTAATAAAATCATTGTGCCTAACATAGACAAGGATTGGCAAATTTTTAATTGACTCAGTAGAATAGTGTTTTAGACCATTTCATGACTCGTTTCTGGGTCTACATGTTACGTGTCTTTGAGCCAACCGCAATAAATATTAAGCCAACCGCAATAAGATATTGAAAAAAATCTTCATAAAAATAGCTTATTAGAACCAACTTACCATTTAAAAACATTTATAATTAGATAGAAAGAATTAATCAAAGTGTATAAAGTTGATCTGAACTGAACAAATTCAATAATATGAGCTTTGAGTGTCAGGCATAATACGTTCCGTGGACCAAAAAAAATTCTAAACATTCACTTGCATATTGTGATAAATCGAACAAATTGTTGTTCAAAAACATATCGTATATACATTGCACAGAAGAACGACCCTTGACCCTTTCCATGATTGTCAAGAAGAATATGCTTAAAATCGTTTAATCTGCATGTGTTGTTATGAACAATGACTCTATTATTCACATTGAACTTCTGTAATTACCGTTACGCACTTACGGTCGTAAACTATAATGTTGAAATTATACTACGTAATTATATATTACGCCGATTGATTTTTACGTTCATCGTTCATTCCAAATACGCCACGCTATCCACGCTATTTCATTCTAAACAGAAAGTAGTTGATGATTTGAGATAAAGTTTGTTTTGACTTCATTTTATAGAAACGATCAACTATTTTCCTATGGTGAAAGAGTAACAATGAACTTGTGATATAGCTAGGAGGAATAGTAATCCTGGTCGGTCTATGCAAAAATACATTAACAGATACAGTAAGGCATATTAGAATTTGTGACAGCAGACGAAACAGCTTAGTCGCAAGTCAGAATAGTTGTTTTACGTTTGCTTCTGATTCCCAATTGCGCACGGTAGCACCCTGGGTTTCGATCATGATAAGATCGAAAACAAGGGAACACGACATATATTCGTGTGTATTTTTTGAAACTTCATTTTACTCTATAAACGGCTAAATTACAGTCAAGGAAAAGCCTTTCTAAAAATTGCAAACTATCAAATTCGTTTATCCTTTAAGTGCCTAACGTTAATGGCCGGATTATAAGTTCATTCCTCATTGCTTTCCCGAAGATCTTTCTACTTGAAATAATGCTTACTTACCGCGACGGACGGCATCGCGACAAAATATACTCGACTCCAGGGATTATCTATTATTCATGGCGACACATTACGATAATAATCTGTCCCGGACCTTTTATGTTAGACAAAATCAACTAAACTAAGTAGAATTTTATCGTAAAGCAACTTTCCACCAATCATTCGCCAATTAAAAACCAATGCATAATCTAATGTTTTAATGCGCTGGGTTTTTTATTTCAGCATTCAATTTTTTGTTTTATTTTAGGATTCAGTGGTATTAGCATTTTATGACTTATTTTCGTTTTTTTTATGCAACTCGCTACTAGGTCCCGAAGGATATTTCTTCTTATTTTGTAAACTTAGTAAATACTGTTGCTTAGTCCGCAAAAAAGCCATTACTTTTATGTTTTGATAAATGAAACAAAAAATTAAAATAGCTAAGTATCAAACAGTCAACCATTCCAAATACAACAAATATCGAGTTGAATCTTTTCTGTTTCAAGCAAATAATTCAGCAACTTTTGTTGAATCTACACACGGGCCATCAATATTTGTAATAATCTGCCCAATTGTCCAGAGAAATGAGTTTCATCAATTTCACTACCGAGGAATGCGTGGACTATTTCAAATATGGCTTTACTACAAAAATGAAATGTCCATATTTTTCATTGATTGAATTTCAAAGATACTTATAGACAGGACAACGTATGGTAGGCTACCAATTCCCGCAGCAAATGTTCCTACTTTTGTCTGCTACGACTGTTGAACTTTAAGTTGGAGATTCCCAATCATGACAAGTAGATAATGTACAAGTCGGCAATTTGTTTTATCCATGGGCATTACTTGACTGTTTGTACTTGTGATAATATTTTCTGAATGGAACAAAATTATCCCCTTTGTATAAATATCTAAAAATAAAACGCCTACAATAGTCAATTTAAACATGATGAATAGGTTTAAAACATTCGTGTTTTTGTGTTGTAGATTTATTCTATTTTACGCGTTTTGAAGTAAGTGTACAACAACAAAACAGTCATTCATTGCCGCTGATAAACAACATTGAATGAGTTTATTAATTTAAAATGTTTGTAGACTTGAGATACATAGTAATAAATGTACCAAAATTTTGAATCCCTTCATCACAAGTGTCGCTTTTAAAATACCATCTTTTATTTCGTGGGTCTGCAATACCGAGTACAGTTGAAATACCCAAAACTTCTGTTGTCATTGAAAATTTTCAAATTTGAATTTTACCCCGACTTGAAGGTTCTAACATTTGCTTAATATTAAGCAAAGTAGCGCACTAGAAGTACCCGCTTTTCAAAATGTATAAAATATTCAGAAATGTCAGGGTTATTCAGCAATCAAAGTTACTAAGGGTACTATAAAGGGTATTTGGAATTAGAGGTCAGATTTTTCATCTTCAATCTCGCGCTTTTGCAATTGTCAAACCAAATCCATTACCTCACCATTACAAAATGATTACTCAAGCCGGTGAGAATATTCCTGTCATTCCAAATCTAGAAAATACGGCCTCTGTAGAAATTAAGAACATGATGTTGAATTAGATTCGATTCTGAATCGACAATACCTAACTGGGACTCGTTCTGAAGATGAACATTGTTACTAAAAATCATGAGTGACCTCAAAACTTTTTCAAACTACATCACAGGATCAGCTTATCCCACTATCGTACATAAATCGATTTCACAGAAAAATCGTCAATTGAAATGAATTCGTCATTGGCTCTTTTGCCATACCATAATATATGACGCACAATGACGATCAAAAATGGTCCATGGGTGAATGATCTCCCCATGACATCGTGTCAGTTTTGATTTCCCCGTCCGTCAATATGATACAACAAAACGTAAACCTACTGAGATTTATTAACCAAATTTCATTATATAATTTTATTGTAATCTAATCGTTACCTTAAGGCTTCATTCCAACAGAGTCATAGGTTTTGCAATGCGGGTAATACGGGAATTGCGTTGTTAGCATCTTGCCTAGATTTGACGTCACAAGGCGCATGGGATTAAGGGACAGGGGGTGTCAACATATCTTCAATTATTGACTTCCTCAAAATTAACAAGCTAACTAATTGGAACCCCGACATTCAGTCGCAAATCTAAAGGCACCTTTGGGGAATGTTATCCCCTTTTTCCTTTTAACTGCTTTACTTTTGTTTATTCATGAGGGAAAGACGACGGTCGCAGTTAACCTATTGATAAATAAACATCGCGGTGTTGATGAACTCGTGCGTTAGGGTTCTATCAGTCAGTTAGTTGGTCGTCAGGCAAAAGATGTTCAGTCGAATTGATATTGATTGTGTTGAAATGTAGAATTCTTGTAATGAGTATCATTGAGTGCAGTTTTGCTCTTGTGTGCATCGAGGACTGTGTCTACAAAGATGAAACACACCAATGAATTTGATTCTACAGTATCACATGGTATTGTTTTATTATCGTTTAATTTTTTGCTTTACTTGGATTACTTTTAGCAACTACTTTACTGTTTCTGCTAATAAGTTTCCGGCATTAACCAGAGTGGCGTTTTCATTATCATTCAGTTTTTATCTAATTGATCTTCCGGGTGAGATCACATTTCGAAAAATATGGTGTGTAGAAAATTGATGATTAATGAACCGAGTTTTGTAATTATCACATTAGGTTTCAAAGCGATTGGTATTATATGTGCAATATATATATATATTGTTTAGTATGCATTATTTAATTGAATAAAGGAATCATTCATAGTTTTAGGCTTGTTGATATGTTCGAAATTTTGTAAGACATTTTACTTAAAAGTAGATAGAAACTGTATTTAATCTCAGGATAATTTTAGTTTACTGGACGTTGTACATGTTATTCCTTTCCATTTATTTCATCATTATTCTACACGACGTAATGATTTTATTTGTGTGCATTGAATGTACTACTCTCCGCATTTCAATATTCTTCTAACGTATTTATCTCTTCCAATAACAGGTTGGGTCCCGGTAACTGCTGGCGAACTTCCACCCGTTCCACACAGTAGAAGGAAAACCTCAGACGAAATCATAACGCTGAACGTTAGTGGATCAAGATTTCAAACATGGAAACAAACACTAGAAAAATATCCAGAGACAATGTTGGGTAGTTCTGAAAAAGACTTTTTTTACGACGAGGAAACTAAAGAATACTTTTTTGACAGAGACTCAGAGATATTCCGACATATTCTCCAATTTTATAGAACAGGTAGAATGCACTTTCCGCGCACGGAATGCATTTCGGCCATAGACGACGAACTTGCGTTTTTTGGTATCATACCCGAAATGATTGGGGATTGCTGTTACGAGGATTACAGAGACAGAAAACGGGAAAACCAAGAGCGTTTAGTCGATGATAAACCAGAAAATGGTGCGTTGGATGGACCCGGAGGAATACTAAACGGAGGACCCATAAAACCTCGTTTACCACTTAGAAAGCGTATATGGGCCGCTTTTGAAAATCCTCATGCCAGTACTCCGGCACTTGTTTTTTATTACGTTACTGGGTTTTTCATAGCCGTATCGGTGTTTGCTAATATTGTGGAGACAATACCGTGCGGTAAACCTCCAGGCTCAGTAGAGGTTTTGCCATGTAGCGACCGGTATCAGCTAGTATTTTTCTGTTTGGACACTGCTTGCGTTATGATTTTCACATTTGAATATTCTTTGCGTTTATTTGCGGCACCTAACCGGTGTAAGTTCATGCGTTCAGTCATGAGTATTATAGACGTTGTAGCCATTTTGCCGTATTATATCGGCCTCATTATCACTGATAACGAAGATGTCAGTGGAGCATTTGTTACCCTAAGAGTGTTTCGAGTCTTCCGAATCTTCAAATTTTCAAGGCATTCACAGGTACGTAAAAAACGTTTCACTGAATCATATTTGTAAATCGATTGGGCTAATATTATTATTTGGTTATTAAACTTGCAAACTGTACTTCATTTGCCATGGCGATTAATAAATAGCAGCGAAATAATTTAAGGTATAGAGAAATACTGTTCTCTTAATTAATACTGACGTACTATAGAAGCTGATATTTTGGATTATTATTCTAAAGACGGAATGAAATCAAATATCCAGCCCAGAACTGAATCGCAATTTAAATCATCTCTTTGGCTTTTTTCAAACATGATTTAAATGTAGGTACTAGTTTTTTGAAATGTCCTTACTTGAATTCAGTACGATAAAAACTTTACTCTCTCTGGTCCAAAGATGTTAAAAAAATTACTACCAAAGATCTTCAATTATTGGAATATCGCATCGATGTGAACAAATTTAGTTTATCGATACCTTTCTAGCAATCACTATTATTCAATCCACTTAAACTGTTATAGAATCAATATCATTTTTCGCTAATTATACCTTGTCACACTAATTTAAGCAGATCCAAGTAAAAGTTGTTAACCTTTAGTATCACCCGAGTGACCGTTTAACAAAAGTATACCACAAGAATAAAAAGTTCAAACATGTATTGTGGCTGAATACCGTGTTCCAAATTCGTGACATGCGCTATATTATAATATCATGCATGATATCAAGCCTAAAATCATTTTGCGTTTTTTTAGCTTGTGTTGCCAGTCTTTCTCCTAAAAATTGAGGCTTTTGAGCTAGCAATCTTTAAACTTTCATTTTTTTTTCAGGGTTTACGAATCATTGGTTATACGTTGAAAAGTTGTGCCAGTGAGTTGGGTTTTCTTCTCTTCTCTCTAACAATGGCTATCATAATTTTTGCCACGGTAATGTTCTACGCTGAGAAAGGAACCGACGATACAACATTTACTAGTATACCCATGTCTTTTTGGTATACCATCGTTACTATGACAACGTTGGGGTGAGTTGAAAATTTTGTCTTCAATTTCTAATCTGCAAATTTACAACAATACAGAGACATTTCATTACCATTTCACACCCAATGCCGCGTTGTTCAGGAATGTACATAGGTTAGGTGTTGCACAACTATATCCAATATATTATCTGTGACAGGGCACTGTGCCTAAATTATTTATAATCGTTCATTCGTTGGGCAACATGGGTCGCAAGATTTGGAATAATAAGAACTGAAGTTGTGAACGTTGGAAATACTTGGATTCATTGAAATCAAGCATTCCTTACCCCGACGAAGGTCACTACGAAATTGCGGTATTGATTCATGGAAACTCAAGAGATATACATCTATAAATCGATATAATTAGTCTTCAATAAAATTGTCGAACGCATTCATATCGAAACTCATTGGTGTTGCTACGGTAGCTACGTGATGTTGCAAATCCTTACGCTGTAGTTCTTCAGAACCGAAATTCCCAAATGACTACATTATAAAGTAATTTTAATTTGTGTACACGGTCGGAGAGAGGTCGAGTTGGCCAGGCATAAAGTATAAAATACAGACGGTTGTACCAAAGTTTCTCGCTGTTTAGTCAGCTAATAGTCAACAAAATCGGTTCCATACGCAATTTGCTATTAAGCAACAATATTGGCGCAAAAGCTCACTAATTACACAATTTTTTGCGTCCAATTATACTACTGGTTGGACATGATTCAGTAAAATACTTCGGTCTAGCTTTTACTATCTTTAGGACATATTTAAATATGAAAAGCAAATTCACCATCGTTGATGCATTTCAAATGTCGATCCTCTTGTGACTGTCGGTATAAACTTTCAAGCCCAACTCACGTTCTGTACACTGAACCTACCTGATCCCTGAAATTTAAGCCTGGAACCGGAATGTTTTTCCTGAGTTCTTTAAGTAGGTCTAAAACTCAAAAAGCACATTAATTTATAAATCATTTAAGCGAGGGCGATATAATATATAAATTGATGACCTAGAATGATGTTTTGAATAACATTATTGTTCGCTGATTACGAACTTGTGCCCAAGTCCCCCACCTGTACACCAATTCAATTCTGCCGCAACTTACGACTTTGGATTACGATAACAAATATTAGTTGAATATACGATTTATGATAATAGTGTGAGAGTCGAACAGTTGCCGTACATTCGTATGTTCTTCATGCCAGATTAAATCTCAAGACGCATCCTTTGCGGTCGTCCGTCCTACTCTTTAATTTTTATGAGGTGCTCTATAACTTGCATGTTTGACGTGAACCTTCCACCACACGGTCATAAATGATTTATAATCTTTTTTTCAATCTGTAACTTGGAGCAGGACAAGGTATTCTTTGAATACTCATGACGGCTATAGCAACTCGATGACCTCTCTCTATATATATTTGAATGCCTATTCGTCCTATTGCAATATTTCACATACATTATATTGTCGGGATGCGAACCGGCGATTGAATTATGGAATGCGATGAACCCCAGTTAAAACTCTATGTTGATTCGTTGATAATATAAATGGATGTGTATAAGCCACTAAAAATCACAGAAACCATTTAATTGAGTATCTTTCATATCAGCACGGTTGGCAGTTTGGTTACTCGGCCTTGTTTTTGGCATCTCCGAAAACATATTCTCCTTATTGAGACGTATATTATGCTAAATTTTCTGCCGCTCAATTGCACACAAATTCGATGGGTGTTACTTGTGTGCTACTACTCGATTGAAAAAAATTACACGCTGTCTGAATGAGTCAGAATTAAATAACCCCTAAGTTTTCTTATTCAACAAATCTCATTGTAAAATCAATTGTAAGAACTTCTGTCTATTGGGTAATTTGTTCTAGCGTTCAATATCATTCTCAGAGGCCCCAGTGGCATAGGCTAAAACAAAATTACAGGATCATCAACTTAATCCAGTGTGATCGAGCATCGATTTAAATTAAATGAAAACGAAATTGAAGGTTCTGAAATTACCACCAGCACGTGAATAGCCGTCACAATATAGCGTCTATAGTCCCCAGTGAGTAATGCCATTTTTCTTATTCAATTTTTTGTAATCATTATCAAAGCACTCGGCGTACTTACATACATTTCGAAGTAATTCATATCGCAGGGGGGCTCATTGTAGCCCTTATTATTTGTTCTTTATATATATTTTGTTCTTTGATTCGGCTTTCAAATTGGAAACTATTCATGTATTCAGGATTACTTTGGATTCACTGTAAAATCTCTGTTATTTCATACAATGTAGCAATACTTCAATATTAACCTGCATTTTTGATGGCTTGATTTAATGAATAAGCGCGACTATACTTTGCGTCAACGCGCGCTTTGAAGCTAACAAAGAACAAGACGTGTTAAGCCACCACGCACCGCTCACGTCTGGCTGAATCGTTTCCAAATGAGTTCCCCTGAAAGTGTCCAACTAAATATAGGACTCCTATGAAGATACCGACTGCTGTCTCATTGAGTTAATAGAACGTGGTTGACAGATGGTTATGTCCCTATGGCAGATATTTATTATAATAATATAGATACAGCCAATGGATGAAAATTCAGCCTTTAATTTTGTATCAAAATGTGATCAAAAATTTTTTTTTCAATTCCTCCAATAAATATATATTCTTAAAATTTTAATGTTGAATCAAACATTTGAAACATTGATTTCATCAAACAAAGTTCTTGAATTGTATTGGCTGCCAGGTGTAGGGATGGAGTATATGGTCTCAATCGCAATTTGCGACTGTTGTGTATCCATAAAGACATATACACAAGTCGCGTACTTACCACAACCGTATTTACTGTTAAACTGTCTCACAATGTCATAGATAGACTATAACATTTCAGGCCAGATTGCTTCTTCAAGAAAAAAATATGAGAAGCATCTATCTTATGCTATGAAAATATTTTTACACCATCAGTAAGTTCTAATGCCGTATCAGGTTCCGGATGTTTTATATATTTAAACTGAAAATGTTTGCAATAAACTCATTGACTCTCTTTTTATTATTCAGATATGGAGACATGGTTCCAAAAACTATAGCTGGAATGATCTTCGGCAGTGTATGTTCTCTGAGTGGCGTGTTGGTAATTGCTCTTCCAGTTCCTGTTATTGTGTCAAATTTTAGCAGAATATACAGTCAAAATCAAAGGGCTGATAAGAGAAGAGCACAAAAGGTAACGATTTTGTATTAATAGTTTAGAATTCATAATGATGAATATGTCCTACGAAATGCCTCGAAGAGTGCTTAGCGTTAGACATGATGCTCGTCATCGTTCGTCGTGGCTGCGCAGATTCGAATCCTGCGGAGTATAATTCGATCAAGTTCATGCATCTGGAAGTTAACTATCCCAAATACTCGACATGAACTGAACTGAATACTAGACTAGACTATGGTTCGCCCCAGATTAGCCGTCCACCCCTCCGTGAAATTAATATGCAATTTCTATTCTATCCCAGCCAACTTTAGTATTGAACCGTCTATTTGCTAATATTATTTCATTTCAGAGTTAAACAGATTTAGATTTCGAATTAGGTCGTCTAGTCAGTAAATAATCTTCTAAAAAAATTATTTTAAACATTTCAATTATTTTAAACATATAAAATTTTCATATCATGTTTAATATAAATATACTAATTTCTTGGAATGATTTCGTAGCGTTTAATTTTCCTCAAAAAAACGAAAAATTTTCCGAAAAATATTGGTTTGTAGTTTATATTATTGCAGAGCAGGCACCCAACCTGACTCTCGTTTCGAAAATATGAAACAACAAGTATTTTCTTCGAATTTTAATTCCCTTCTACCCACGTCACGAGCTACGAAGTCGCTATAGCTTGACCTCGTATTAACATCTAATACATTGATATTAAGTGAGAAACCTCTGATCCACATACCTATTATAACAATTTAATCTTGGTAATTAAGTAAAATTCAATTACGAACATGTCGAAGACACAGTATATCTATAACCTAATAACATTACCCCCAGTCGCGCGCTGAAGCATTGATTTCTATGAGAAGATCGCGTAAAATAGTCTTACATTTTCAAGTATATGTGTCTTTATACATTTAATAGCTTAGAATAGATTTTAATTAGATGTTATCGTTAGACTAACAATAGAATAACCAATGTTACACGGAGCGTAATAAATTTTCAAAAATTAATATTATCTTTGATTAACACTAGAATGTTTTGTAACACTACAAAATTTTGATGCATATTTGCCCCCGTTCCATGTTAAGCTCCATGTTTGGCCAAACATGTGGTGACTAAAATATTCTTGTATCAAACATAATCTGAGATGCCTCAAATTACCAGGTTTTTCTTTTAAATTTTACCTATTCTATTACAAATGACATAATATTCTTTCATCTGCGCCATACACTAGAGAAATGACAGCTTTTCTCAATTGCTAAAAATAATTCTGATTCGAGGGTGCTGACAACTAAAAATCCTATCTACCGGTATGGATTTTATGTCCTAATGATGCCTTTGATGCACTGATGTAAAGGATTTTATGTCACTAGATGAAAACCTGTCAATTTGATATAAAATCAAATGCCATCGTCGACGTGTCATCGTTGTGATGGTCATTGGAGAGTTTCAGCTGGTGTAATTAATTTCATAATTCCCAAGCCGTTCATTTTATTTTCATTTTTTATTGTTGGACACGGAGTGAACCTATGAATCGTTTCGTTAAATTTTTATTGTTGTTTTTTGGGGGGTGATTGGGGTTGTTAAAAATCGCTTTCCTTTCGCAACTAATGGACCAATCGATTTCAAATTTTCAGTGTACTCAAAGATAATAAAGAAGTCTATTATTTTTTCCCCAAATTTTCTCTTAGTCTTTCCGACCTTACCATACTAAGTTAACATGAAATTAGAACACGCGCGGAAAAATGAAAGTTATTCTGGATTATTTTTTATTCTGTCTAAAAATTTTGGCCCTAAGAGAGCACGGGTTCCACAATCCAGATGAATTTTTGTAAAATTAGTTTGATATGATACAAATATCTAGCGGCATTTGACGGCATGTGTTACTGTCTTATAGAGAAAAATAGAGTTTTGCGGCAACCAAACACAGAGATCCGATCAAAAGCATTTCAAATTTGTTTATATTAACTGTAACAAATTCATAATGTTGGGTAATTGTTTAAAAAATGGCTTCATATATATATGGACGGGACCCACTGATGAATAGAAACATGAAAACTAACATATTAAGAATGGTGAGGAATTGTCTCTGTGTGGTCTAATCCAGGAGAAATTTGCCTTTGAGTGTTTCTTTTCCGGTAAGACTTTATAAGCAGCCCTTTGGGAAACGGAACTCTATATCACAGAAACGACCTGACTAATTGTGGTTTGGCGTAGCATGGGCTTACGCAAATAATTATAGATAGAGCAATGGAGAGGACCTGAGTTTACGTTAGACCCAGGCAAGATCTGTATTTTACTACCAGCGTGCTCACGTCCGTAGCGGCCACTGTGACTTTTCACGTGCAGTTACATAATATGCCGAAGGATGTGGTGAATGCTTTCGACAGTATAAGCTCTCTCTCTACTGTCTTCAAATTTCTCGGAATATTTAACTAAAAGGAAGCTTTCAAAACGCGTGACTAAAAATGATAAATTTGCCAATAAAAACTAAAATGCATTATTCATGCTCGTCACAATCTTCTTTAAAATGCAGCGGTTTCCATTCAAGATGTCATCAATTATATAAATGACCGTGTCCGCTGATTAAGATTGATAAAGTGCGCACCACGATTTTCAATCAACTCAGTAAAGTAGTCTCTGTCTATCATGAACATTCAACAACTTTTTTTATTATTTTGGAATCAGTTACCAGTAAAAATTTAAACCATAGTATTTTCAAAAAGTCCAGTCAACTTCATTTTTTCCAACCAGTAAAAAAATCAATTTCAAAGAAAATAAGAAGGAAAAATATAATAATTTTACTAGAGATGTAAGGCCAAATAATATCATTAGAATATATTTATCGGTTTATCCGCAACTAAGTTGAACTTCTATAGTGACAGATGGGAGATCCGTGGTGTTGAAATTAAACTGTCCAACTATATGCAGTACTCTCACTCACATCCTCATTTCTCTTTGTTTGTCGCCGGCCGTAAAATTTTTATTCGATTCGCTTTATTTCCGAAATTACCGTCAAGCTAACCAAATCCTCTTTGTGGTTTGTTACATCGTCGACAACAAGTTTTTAAGCTTATTCTTTTTTTGAACGTATTGACGTGTTAGGTTTGTGGTATAAAATTTAGTTACAAACATGCACGGGACAAACTATTCGCAGATAAAAAAAAATATTCGAAATACCTCCAAAGAAACATTCCTGATTAAAATAGACAAATCCGGCGCAATTTTATTTGGATTCGAAACAACCCTTTTTAAAATTTCCCTCTTAAAATTTGTGTTTTATGCTTTAATTTATATTTTAAAATCAGCATGGTAAATTGTATAATGTGCATACGCATTCATTCATGCATTTTTTTTTATTAAAAGGAGAAATAAAAAGCACTTCGCAAAATAGCATTTCGTGCTGAACAATGGAAAATATGTCAAATGTTGTGAAAAAAAAAACATGCATTTTATATTGGTGGTAACAAATTCCGATGATCTTAACGCTCGTATCGTTGCCCCCAGTCAGTTGATACAGTTATCCTTATATGTATATGTTTTGTTTTCTCAAAATAAAAAAGGTAACTCTTCATACATGCATATATGATCAATATTTTATTTAATTCATCATTTGTTTTGAAGTTTCGTTCCTATAAAATAGGGGAATTCCACATTTTGAGTTTTTAGCAGAATGTGTATCAACATATTTGGCATATTAGCAAGAGATGTACTAAGAATTCACTGCGACGGCGATATTAAATTACTCTGCCTGAAGAAGTTGGCATCATTTACCGTTTCCAATGCAAACTACCGTAAAAATAGCCGGGAATATTGATAAAATGAGTACTGTATCGTCTGAAGTTATTTCTTATATCAAATCGATGGTGGCCGTGACATATGAGTGAGATAAATCCGAAAGACTTCCGACGCCGCGTAAATTGAATTAGGATATGCGAAATTGGCTACGTTCAACCACAGATTCCCTTTCTTTCTGTCAAAATCTGATGCTTGCGGCCAACTTAAAATACGCCACATTTTATAGATGCCGCCAGTATAGGGCATGAAGCAGTTTATGATCATAGATCACGTCAAAAGCTTGTCAAATGCAGTGCCGACAACCGGAGTTAGAGTCTGAAATTTTAAAACCGTTGTCGACTATTAATTTCGATATTGAGTGGTTCAAAGCTCTTGCATGAAAGGAGCGCTAATTTCCAAGTAGAACTATTTTCCCTCTCAATAGGTACGCTCAAAAATGCAATTTAATCGAAGTAACATCATATGACTTCAATAATGTTTTGTTTTTCAAAATGGTCTTCGTTATTCCCCCATCCGATGAAACCATGGAAAATTGTAATGCAAAGCCTTCAGTGAGACGCATGTAATTCAAATATGATAAGCCGCGCCATCGCTTGTGAATAATTCAGGTACGGTTTAAAAACTGTGGGTAATGGGCTGGCGACATTTGACAACATGTTTTTATTGTTCGTCGCGACCTAAAGAAATTAAATTTTCAGGCACCTGCTTCATTATGAGAGTGTTATTTTGTGTAGGATAATAGATTGTTTGTATGTATTATATGGTGATGTACAGGTCCACTATAATTTCATAATTTGTGCGTCGCTCGCTTTTGTATAATGCGTCGGTTTACGGACCACCACGGTCCGTAAGGGTTTCTTGAAACCAAGGCGCCCATTTCAAACTATTGAACATCTTCAAATATTAACTTTTTTTGTGCATTCTGAAAACATCTACACCAGAACAAATTCGTATTGTGTCTGTTCATATGTTGTCATTCAAAAGAATTTTTTTCCTAACATTGTCTTATACAGCCCACCTAAATTAATGATTGAATCGTCGTGAAAATCCATATTTTTACGACAAATCGGAACTCAGTCGAATAGTAAATTTTACCTATTTGAGCAACTTAAAAACTGTAGCATTCGACATGGTGAACTAGAATACGTCATTAATCATGAAATCATCGAAATTTTAAAAATCAAAATCTCACCCAGTGAAATTTATAAGGTCTTTAAAACTTTGTATATACGTTGAAGAAGTCAAAGAACATTTGTTATTGAACGAAAAACTAATGTTTTATTAATGCGACACTGCCTAATATATTTGTTTTCAGTTTATGTGTCGACTAAATGAAAATGCCCATCAAAGCTCAGTCATTCATTTTGTCCGCCTACCAAATAATCATTACATTTTCGGGTCTTAATTGAACTCGTGAAAATACTACAAATGTATACTCGTTTGTGCTATTTGAAAGGGCTAAATTTTTAATGGACTAGACTAGTCAAAATCTGTTATTACTTTCATTACAGCACCGACCAACGGGAACTGCACCAAATTGATGCATTTTATTTTTATCGCTCCAATTTTTGTTGCACATTGTCGATAATGCTAAAAGAATTGTGTCGCTCCTTAAATTCTTTAAAAGTATAACAAAAGATGTTATTTGTTGTCTGCTCTTCTAAAAAATTATCGCTTGACGAGACGTCGAAGAATCGCGACTGAAATTAGGGTTCGATGTCAGACAAGCCATATTGTGTGAATACTATAGTTTGTATGGAAACATTGATGGGAACGACGCGCTTAATAGCGTTATGATGGCATTCAGGCTTATATCCTCATTCCAAAATATTCAGTTCAACATAACTCAACCGGATCTTGCAAATTATAGACTCAATAATAGAATTTTCATTGGATTGTCCGCCATTTAAGTTCAGGATAAAATTGAAAAGATTTGTACATTGTACCGTTTTCCAACCGTAGAATTCATTGCATACTCCAATACAATATTCATAATCTACATGAGAACAGACAAAATTAATAGTAGACATAATAGAAAATACTATTCAATATAGTCTTTGAATGAGTTGATCAAGCGATTGTTTTGTTTTGTCAAAGGCGTAATTTTGACATTTTTGATTTTAAACTTTTTGGTATTGGTATAATATCTGTATCCCTAGATTACGTTGCATTGATAATACATAAAACATGCTGAATCCCATATCGTGACCAAAGTTTGGTGAAATTTTTGCGATGGAATATTGACCACTCTAACTCAGGGGTGCACAACACGAGGCACGCGTGCCAAATTTGGCACGCCTTACGCTCAAACGTGGCACGCGAACCTCTTTGTAAAAAAAATATTTATGATATACATTAAAATATCACGTTTATATAAATATCAGCATTTTTTTTTTTTCAGGACATTAAATTGTTTTAATAAAAAGATACTCGTTATTATGTATTGTTATTGCAATTTGTTTGGTTTACGGGAGTTAATTTACAATACCACAATTGTGCGTGGCACCCGACAAGATTATTTTAAAAAAATTGGCACGTATCCTCATTTGAGTTGTGCACCCCTGCTCTAACTGAATGAGAGGTCTTAGTTACCGATATACACTTTTGACGTTAATGGTCATTTTTTACAGTGAGCAATGTTCATTAACAAACCGCTTTTAAATATTGGGTTCATTGAATTTCATCGAACTCTTTGAAGTTCAAGTACGCCGTTTCAGGAGTAAAAATCAATTTTAATTTCCAAATCACGAGAAAACTTCTTCGTGGTCTACCTATTTTCCCACTTAAAGATGGATCCCGACAGATATTCGGTCAATAATATATTACAGTCGTCGATGAATGACACAAGAATCGACTTTCATAGAGCTTGAAAGCTTATAACGAACTTTTTGTCAATTTTGTCTTTCAAATATTTTAAAGTCAGAAGCAACGGAATATTAGTTGCTATGAAAAACTGATGTAATAGGTTCATCATATTTTTGGAATTCAACAAATTGCTACACCTTGCATCAGGTACGGGTCTTATGCTGATAGCTGATCTTACCAGCTGACTAGCTTTGATCAAACTGTAACGGGTCAAAATACCAATTAGGGTTAGGCTTTGTGAAATCAGGTAGAAGCTAGTCTTTCTCACTTATAAGGTTCAACGTCAAAGCACCAATTCTTAAACTACAACCAGTCGGGCTACGTCTCTTTTCCGTGCCGAATATTTAGCAGTGCGAGCAGCTTGCATTTGACTATTTGTTCTTACTTTTCAGGGGTCAATTGGTATAATTGATTTTGACATCTTATTTGATTTATTATTTATGAAAATGGCCTCAAAAACACCGTTGCCACGAGCACATGCAAATTTGTTCGCACGTCCAACTTGTACAAGTAACACATGTAATTATGAAACAGTAGATAAACAATAATGTAAGGAAAGGATTTGTGTATAGATATACTAGGTTGCTAGTTGCTATGCTACATACGAAAAGTGCTCGATTGAACAAATTCTCACACAAATTTACTTGATTTGATTAAATATATTCAGTAACATACTTTACATCTTTCCAAATGTCGCCTGACTGTTTGTTATTGTTTCAGAGGGCAAGACTAGCTCGCATCAAAGCCGGGAAAAATTTTGGAATGAGGCCGAAAATGAACGGTGATGGAAATAATGGACCACCTCCAGACGAGGTTTGTAACTAAAATTTTCCCCTCTGAAATTATATCTTTGTTATTTCACCAGAGTGATAATATGTCACCCTTTAATTAATTTAGACGTATTTATGCTTGTCTCCCATTCGCACTGGAAATATTTGCTTTACCTATATTCAAATTTTTCTCGTTTACACAATATTGTTTAGAGATTATTGGTAAAATTCAGTGGTTTTTATGTTTATTTATAATAGTGAAATGTGTGTCAAAGACTTCGTTACTAATCGGGTCTTTTCATAATTCCCAGCTTTCATTCATTTAGGAGAAATGCACCCAGGAGTGATTTTGAAAGTAGAAAATCGATTTTCAGTTGCATAAAAATAGAACCCAAAAACTACAAATAGAAAAGTCGTGATTTATATGGTTCTTGTTTGGACAGAGTACATTATTTTATTTTCGGGGTTACTTTTGAATAAAAAAATAATCTTATTTTTAAATATTCAGTTTCTTCTTTAGCTATTCAGGAGTCGGTAGCTATTCATTTTATCGTTGTTCAATTTGAGGAATTTAAAGTATGTAGGCCTACGTAAAATAAGTTTGACATTCTACAAAATGAAACTTGTTTAAATATATTTCCAAATATCTAATCCTATTTCGTTAAATGTACTCTTAGAGCTGTCAAATTATGCATTTCGACTGGATAATTTCGTGGCAAATTTCAAGAAAACTTATTTCATAAATTAATTTTTATCAATTTATTGGAAACCGTTTTTTGAATAGTGTGTAAATCTTTAAATTAACTTGAATTAAAACACCTGAATGGATTTTGTTCCTTCCAAATTCCATGACGTCTTTTGGAATTAAATTGACACACAGACGAAATCCACGACGATTGTATGTATTCAATATGAACCACCTTACTATATTACGTTTGTTACAGCGTTACGTTACGTTTGCTCGACGTCCTTATGATTGCACGGTTAATAACTTTTTAAATTTATGTGTTTAGGGTGGTGGAACTGAAATATCGAAGTCAGTCAATAGAAATAACAACAAGTTCGAAAATGAACACTGTCATTTGTTGGAGTGTTTGGAAACAGCCACAGTAAGTGATCACTTGCCCTCGTTGTTCTTATATAGAAACTCTAACAACCGAACCTAGAGCTTTGTATATTTTATTGTACGCAGTTGCTTTCCAATAACCATCTTGGGCTTTATGATAAAGTTTGCAAATGGAATATCCAAGTATGGTTATGATCTTGATTAAAGCATATACACTTGTTTACTTGAATACACACAAACATAATGCAATTGTTCAGTGGCTATGGACGTTATATTTCGCTGTTGGTGTTATATCTCTAAACGAAATGTGCACATGTAACAAACAGTCTGATTTAAAAAAGAAGAAACGACAACAAAGCCTAAATTCAGTCTATATTGTACTACATGTCTATACCTGTTTTATATGACGAATTTAAGTCTTAAGTCTTATATGACAAAGTCTTTCGCTCAGAGCCACTGCTAGGTAAGAAGCTGCTATAGTTTGACAGTACCGGAAGCTTTTCAGCTCGGCATTGCCTACCCATATATTTTATTGCATACACCTGAGATTTTTACCGACAATGTCATCATAGTGAATTGTACTGCTAACGCTTTATACACTAAGTCGATGTATCTACAAACATGTTACTTTGATTAGGTTAATTTCTCATTCTATGACCTCCTCTCTTTTTTATATTTTGTCTTATTATACTTCACAACGATTTCATAAAATAATGTATCAGACTATCAGTCGTACAAAGGTGTGGCCTCGGAATCTAACTCTAAGAAAATATCAAAGCGTGATTTGAAAACTGATCTTTCAGAAATATTGGTATGGGTATTTGTGAAACAAACTATCAAACTCCTATCTTTTGTAAATTCAGCGTGGAACATTGGTCGAGGAGTCAAAACACAGCCCTAAATTCGTTGCCACTGCAGCGAGCACCTCAACAGGGCCGCTGGAGGCAGGTGTTGTTAGAAGTCCGCCCGACTATCCTGCAGCGGATTTCCAATCTTCATCGCCAACTCTGTCGAACAATCCTTATTGTAATCGCCATGATCATACAACGGCAATAATGCCAAACTGTTACAATTCCGAGCAAGGGCGGAGAATGTCTCGAGCATCGTCATCTGGGAGTCAATCACTGGCATCGAGAAGCGGTCATGAGTTGAACACAATGATCAGAGACACTGGCGATAATTCAACTTCTGCGCATCCTAAGTAAGTTTATGCATGTTAGTCGTTTGTATGAGTCTGATTTTCCCACCTGATAATATAATGTTGATATTGTTTAGCTAGAAACTTAAATTTTAAATCTGACTCTTTTTAGAAGATATTTCCTTATCCTTCTAGGTCGAAACATAACCGATTTCCTGAATAAAAATGTTGTGATTATGCACACCTACTCACTGTATCACTTTGTTTCTAATATAAACCATTTGCTTGTCGTTGAGTCCATTCGGTCGTCTGTCCTGTTGGTGAGGTGTTCCGCATTTTGTTCTCTATCGCCGTACATTCTTTGACCTACTTGAATATATATGTTCCGGTCTCTAATATTTGAATTACCGGGATTCACATCATTTTCTGTTAATAAATCTACGGTGTGGGTAAAATTACGTTATACTTTAAACACCAATGCAAAACAGATGTGATATATTAATTTCCTTCGAATGCCTGCCTTGTTCTGTTAAATCTATACCCTAGTCGCAATGTAGGTGCAAACGTGGGATTTCCGTAAAATAATTTTTCTTCTGATATCGCAGAAATTCTGCTGTACCGGTCATGTCGAGTGACAACATGTACCAGAGGGTATAACTCAGTACATACATATTCAATTACTGATTCCTGAGGACGTGGAGGTTGGCCATTAAAGCATGCATTGTGCCTCGCATGATACATAGCTGTTGTCATAGTGTGTGTGTATATGCGAATGAAATAAGTTATAAATATATTTTTTGCAAAAAAGGGAAACAGATAAAAATGCTATTGTGGAAAGGTGGAATAAAACTTTTCGCTGCTCCAGAAGTATGTGCACCAATATGGAGGCAACTAATTTTGTTCGCCCATTTTACATCAAGTTGTCTTAAGGGACTGAAACCTATGGGCAGGGCAATATTCACTTGGCTAACACAGACAGTCCCCGAACTCGTAATAAAACTAAAATTAGGAAAATCAGAATAAAAATATGGCCTAACCCTAACCTGGTACACATACTACGGGAGTAACATTTTTTCAATGGATACACGAACGCATAATTTAAAAAGGAACCCATATTCAAATACAACAAACAAAAAATAAATTGAAAAAAATGATTCCATATATCGTAGGATCAATATTATTAATTCAAAATGTCCAAATATAATCAAAATAACAATTTATTGGTCAATTCGATTCCCACTTTCCGAATTCTAAAACAAGGCTGGTGAGTTTTACAATAATTTCTTGAAACTTATTAGTAAAAGATATGAAATCGTCATAATTTTAATATTTCGATACTGATTAATAAAATAGGGGCCGATATCCAACATCGAAATATTTATAATCATTGTATAGCAGCGACCATATCATTTCTTTAAAGCTACGCTGCCATAGAACCAAATAATTCAATTGAATGCAAAGCAAAATTGTGCAAAATTTTTATCGATTCCATATGCACAAATTTGTATATATATATATATTGTATATTTGTACTTGAGATACGGTGAAGTTTTAGTGAATTTTAAAGATTTTGTAGATAGACTAGAGCTTGTTTCGTAGTTTATGTATTCATGCTTGGTGTGAGTGTATATTTTGAATATGCTAGTTAGTTTGTTGCTAGATTATCTCAATGTTTTTTTTTCTCGCAAACCAATTTAGTTCCTTGGTGGTCCAACTCCATTCGCTCAGCCGGAATGCAATTTTGAGGCCAATTTTTATTTTACCCGATATGAATTATGCATTAAAATTGATTTTTGGTGGTATGATACACTACAGTACCACGCTTTATTTGCGACCTTATTATTTCTCGCCGTGATATTATTTCCTTACTCAATTTTAAAAATAGTTTAAAGCTTTTCGCTTTATTTTTGTGACCTAAATCGTGCGGTTAGAGCTTATGACCCACAAATAAACTAAATGCCTCCGAAAATAACTTGAATGTGTGTTTTTTGTCTAATTTTGACTTGCACCTTTAAAAATCAGTCTCTCAGGACCAAGTCTATTTCTGTAATACTAGTCGACTGAAACCATGTCTCATTCGTTAAAACCCAGAGGTATACTTTTGGCTTTTAAGCGGTCAGCTTTTGAGTAGGAATTTCTGTTGTTTTTGTCACTAATTTTGCTAGCATTGCAACTTTAGCTCTGAATGTTGTGTCTACAAAATATTTCCACTTTTCAGAAGTGTTTTTCAGTTTTCGGTATTTAAAATTAAAAATAATTTAAAACACAAACGTAGTTTAATATATGTCAATGTGGACTGACAGTAATTATTGAATCGGCCGCTTATAAAGATTCCAAAAGTCAAATGTATGAAATGAATATACATACAATGGATCCAAAATACTTCTGAAAGTCCTCAATTGACATTTTAATGACGTTCTACTTCATATAATCTGAGGGCCACAGTAGCCACTCCCATTCTTCTTCTTCATCCGCGTATCTATATTCTCGTGTTATCTTCTCGATTGATATTTCTGCAGTGCATTTTGTTACCCTTATATGCACCCCTGGTCAACTTTGCTGGACTCTTCTTCGGAGCGAATTTGAATATTTTATTACTGTCGTTATTTTGAATTTATGTATATGTTTATTTATAGTTTAATGTAAGCTCTTGCTCGGAGGCTAAATTGCTTGAAAAAAAGTCAAAAATGAAATAATATTTATTTCTCATCCATTTGGGCTTATTTTGCACCGAACTGTTCGAAAGATAAAGCCATTACAATAGTATTTGGTGTTGTTGAAAGGATTCTGAACTTTGATGCGACTGGTTATGCTATATGACCTGTAAAATATGTTTAATTTCATTCATCTGCCTATCTGAAAATTATAGATAAATATTATATCAATATTATAATTCGCAATTTCTGAATTTAAAATTTTTTTTATCTTCAAAATATCTACTTTATTTTTTTCATGAAGTAAATGCCGCACCTGCAATGAGAACAGTAGGCTACTCTGTTAAATTTTATCAAATGAGTTATATAGGTTTGTAAGAGCAGGAATACTACATCAACAACATAGCCCACTCCCATTTTACGCCCTGGCCAAACTTGGTCTGACGGACGTTCGATCGATGTCTAACTTTGAAACCAACTGAGATAAAGTCTAACATTTGATATGTAAATCAAATCGCGTGCCCGTCATTTAGATTTTGAAGTGTGACGAAGTCAGTATTCAGTAATGAACTGGTAATGTGGTTACAGAATCCCATTCAATATCACTCTATATACAGATGAGGACAGTTACGGTTATATACACCTGAGAGCTGACATGAGCAAACTACGGCCCGCGAGCCAAATCCGGTGCGTTGCGTAGTTCAATTTGGTCCGCCTGACGCTGCCACAACCCAACTGAAGCTAAATTTTGATGCTCTAGCTGAAAAATCGCTCAAGGAATTTAAGATTGCTATTTAAATTTACTTTTGGCACGAAGCCTATTGTTTTCCGCATTTACTTTTATAACAAATATTGTAAATATTGTTCATAAAATGTAAATTTTTACGTCACACTTACATGGCCCGCCAGTCCAGGTGGCAAAATTTTTGGCCCCTGGTGCAAAAACCTTACCCACCCAAGAGTCTTATTCAGACTGTAGACGTGAAACACTTAATTGCCCATACCGTATAGATAATAGGGCATTCGCTAGATTTGCAAGATATCTCATCATTCTTCTATTTGTAATATAGATTCTTGACTTATGAATGAATATAAATGCTGATGTATTTTGCGTTGCAGTTAACTGGTTTATTTTTGTCTGTTGCCAAAGACTTAATGGCGGATGAATTATTTTTAGTAATCTTGCGGTCTGATTTAAAAATGTTGTTTGTGTCCGAATTGCGTTCTTTTCGGCGTACCATCGATTTATCCGGTTTCAAGCAATACGAGTAAAGCCCACAACTATTTTTCTCATTTCGCGCCGTCTTTATATTTAACTCGCATCGATCGTACCATCCCATCAATTCAGGCTAATGAGCCTTGTTAGTTAACCCGTTATAGACTTTTGATATTCTGTTTAACCGTGTTTAAAATAGATCAGTCCATATGCGCGAAAACCTTTTGCGCGACAAATTATTTTATATATTGTTCGCGAATAGAATTCCTAGATGTATTTTGGTTTGAATAAACGATTAGGAAATTGAAATAGAATATCAAGGTATTTTGAATCATTCGCGCAAATGGTCATCCCAAAACTCAAACTCAGTTTTATATATTCAGTGTAAATCACTTTGCTGGCATAGCAGTGCGACTAATATTTAACGTAAACGCAACGTGTATTATCAAACATGGCTATTGAGTGATTCGCGCAAGTGGTCTTCTCAATAATGACACCCAACCAATCCAGTGTAAATTTTTTTTGTCAGTATATCAATTATCTTTGCGATATTTGACGTAAACGCAACTAAGTCTTCTGCGTCCTTTACAAAGAATCTTACGTCATTTAAAGCATATCGTCTTCATCTGCGGAAAGATTTCTCGCCATACGGTAACTTAGATTGAACAACGCCAACCTTATGACCCATATTTCACACCTTTATATATAGAATGTTAGACTACGCATACAGGAATGCAATGATGATAACCTCACGCGTTGAACTTTGAACTCAAATTAGTAAATTGCTAGTTGATCGTTCGCACATGAACGTCGCTCTATATCCCACAATTACCTCAGTACGTCTCGTCTCATTGAATCAAAAAAAAAAACTGTTATTTTTTCTATATCGTCACTAATTTTTCAAAACAATCTTGCGATAGTTTGGAAAACTGGTGTAGAGGGACTTGGTGTTTACGTGTTAACATATTGGCCAGTTTAAAATTCAATTATACAGCAACTTCCAGACGTAACGTCTATTTATGCCTTATACGCCGCCTTTCTCGTGGTTTCAAAATCCATCAACGGAATATCAATAGGTGCAACACATATGTATATGTCGTGTTCTTGCATAATTTTAAGCTCACTAGTCGTTGAATCCAGCTTATAATATATATATATAAATAGTTATAGATAAATAGTTGCCAAAAATAGTATAATTTTCCTAATTTTGTTGGCCAGTTACACGGAATATACATGCTGATAAAAATTCAATTTCTTTGCAGAAGAGTTTTGGCGTCAAATACGGGATAATCCCTTTAGGAAAAAAAACTACCTAATTTAGTTCAATAATGAATTGACTGACTGCTAAATTGATTGATATTCAGGTCACTGCCATAACTATATTATATATCTAGAATTAGCTTGATGACGTCATATACATAAACCTGACGTCACAATATTTTTTTAAAACGTGACGGGATCATACCCAAATGCTTAGCATTTCAATCACATAAAAATAAATCAATGAATGAATTTATATAAATGAATTATTATATACGCTCAAGACAGGTAACTAGTAAATTTGTTGTCTTGAGGATTTAAATTGCATGCTGCATGGAACATAGTAGTGAAAGTGTTTAAACTTTTTCATAACAAAAAACTATATGACCAGTGTCGTCGTAATATGATATTCTTACAAATGGTAGTGATTTTGAATTCAATGATTTTTACTTCAACTAAACGTGAAGGAAAAATTATTTCGCATCTGTTTTTAGTTTTGAGATAATGCCTGAAAATATTTGAAAGCGCTTGTAATTTATGAACACCGCAAATTTTACCCCTTTCATTCCAACTTCTTTACTTACACACGTTTACTTTTAGTATGCCTTCCCGCGTATCACAAAGAAAAAGATCGTCCGAAGGCCGTCTATTTGATGAAATATCTCGACGTGCGGCCGCGATACGACGTAATGATGATTCTGTTCGGACGACAACAAAACGTCCTATGTATCGACACAGTTCGGATGCTGACAGGGGATTTGGCAGTAGAGAGGATTTTGATGAAAGCATGGCACAGTTGAACCCTTCAACTGCCATCATAACGGTAGATGAAGCAAGCCCAAATCCATCTCAACTCGAATCCGAACGTAATGTATATTCTCCTCTCCATTTGGAAGATTTTCCTCACAGCCATCCATGCGTAGAGCCATATCATCTTCACGTACCAAGCGTTCTCTCCACCGACGGTTCCGGATCTTCCTCGACTTCAACTTCCGGGGTAGTTGGGTCAACCGCGTCTTCTGAGCTTTATCCAGTTGCAGTCACGCCAACCGGGACAGAAGAACGTACTCTTTTATCACTGCCTCGTTCATCGCCCACCAATTCCCCTTCTAATTCTTTGTCAGCTTCACCCAGCTCTGTTGGCGGTTTTGGTTATCGACAGCAGTCTTGTTCGCCACAACACTTTCCCACCGATACCATTAGAAATTACAAATATGAGGATGGCATTTATGGCATAGCACCGCCAACAAAATCTATCACAATGCCATCTATACACAAATCCCGCTACGACGGAGTTATACCGGATAGTGAAAGCGCTCAGTCGAATGTATATCACACCACATTTCCCTCATATGAACTAAAGTCCCCATATGCAGGCGATAATTTCAACTCGAATCCCATTGGCAGAAGGAGAGCTTCGTCGCTGGAGCGCCGCGAAATGAATGATTTCCCGGATTTAGAGGAACCACAAGAAAATGCCATGAAAGTCACACCATTGTAGGTAACAAAAGAACAAAACGTTTTTATCTTTATTGCGTTGTTGAAATTGGAAAAAGGGTGTCAAAAGAACGGATTCCAACCTACGTGCGGATTAGGAATCACAATTTACTGATATATGTATATCCTCAAAAATACCGCAAAAGCTGTAATGAAAAGTGGTGGAAATGGTCGCTGAAAGAACTTTGAAACGGTTGAGTACACAAGGTGCTTAGGCCTGAAAAGATAACTTCTAATACATATATATTTTTTGTAAGTTCGATATTTTTTTATTCTAAAAATATTTTGGAGTTACTTACTTTAAAGTAGTAATCACAATTTTGTACCGCTGCCCATGCGTGAGAATTATCCGGGCTGGGCTGGTCCTGCAAGCGAGAACTCTGTTATTGACTTTGCTTGCCGAAGTCAATATAAATTAAAATTATTTAGCTTCAATTCGTTCGATTTTAGACAATTTTTTTTTGCATATTTTTTGTAAACCATTTTGAAATTACTCTTTCTGCTGTAATAGGAATATAAGCCGACTATAGCGCGTATTCATTTAGTGTGAGCGAGATAGCTTTCAAAAAGAATTTCTTCCCATTTCAGATGATATTGTGATGATTGTTGGTAACTATTCAACCAAAATATATTCAATGCTTTTTCGTTCTAACAAAGGTTGGTCAGATATTGTTAAAGACATTTACATATGCCTCGTCTACTCCATATTAACTCACTCGATTTAGAATAAACAAAATTCATTCAGTGGTCAGTTTGTAAAGGAATATCCCTTTATTTTGAGATCTTCAGATTAGGTGTAAAAATATGGTGGCTACTAATATAATTGTACGCGTTTCCTTACTTCGTTTTTCCTTCTATTACAAGATCGATTTGATTTCTAGAGTGACATGATACGTCCAACAAATAATTATTTTCGTTTCCAAAAAATAAAATAAAAATTTATTACTTTTACGAGAAATCGCTTTATAATGGGTCCCATTTTGCGAAAGCTTTTATCGGGTTGCTTATATTTCGTGTAACTGTCGCTTCATGGTAGTAAAATGCATTTCGTCCCAATTGCCGCAAATGTCCCAAGCGAGTAGTATCCCGTGTAATTGCTTTCATCGGAACGAATCTCATTGATTTTGCTGCCATTATGTTTTATGCTCTAACCAACGACAAGTTTATTGAGTGCGTTAATGTCTAGATTATTGAATTTCTATACATTTATAGTCAATTTGATGAGTTGTATTATATAAATGTGTAGAATGTAAATTCGGAAACTGAAAATTTTGTTCAAAATGCATATACTTAATGTATTGCAACGCAAACTCTATAAAAGACTGTTTTGGTTAAAGATTACATACAGACAAAGACACTGTTACACATATAAGTAGTATTAAAAAATTCAATGGTTTTATATCTAAATGAAGATAGTGAAATCACTAATGCCATACTTTCGAACATATAAAACATAATTTTACAATCACCTTTACGTTTGTTTCGCTCATGTTCGTTCTGCTTGAACGTAAGAGCGAGATATATAATTAAATTTTATTTTCAATTTTGAAATTATATGATATTTTCGGTTTGCTCAACTGATTGATTTTGCTGTCAAAATTCAATGAAACCCCACATGAAATGCGCATGAATGGCTCGGAATATTCCGGAAAATCGTCAGATTTATCCACTTCACAATGCTCTGTTTCATCATTTGAGCCCATTAGTTAATTGAAATCTTCTTTAAACCGCATTCGCAATACTGTCAGTTACGAAAACGGAAATGTGATTATATAATTATTAAATTTAAAGCATGAAATGAAAATTATATTAAGCTAGAACTATTGTACCACACAAATTATTTTAAAATGGCGACTTGTGACCTCAAAACAGATATTATTCAGCTTTTTGTCAGCCCCAATTACTGCTTTCATCGCATCCATTTCCCTTCAGGTCAAACCTATTATATATGTCATTTTTAGGTAGGAATTTTGAGCCAACAAGGCTGAAATTAGTCGTTTGTTTATATGTAAATGAGCTGTCTTGTTACCTTTACACCTATTTGCACTTTCAATTGCACTATATAATACTCATATATATCCATTTCTTTCTTGTGCGTCGTGAATTCATTGTTATTGTGTTTTTACATTACGATGTAAGGTGGGAAACCTACTGTTGGCAATTTGATCACGTTTTAACCTTTTAAACGTATGCTGAACCAACGATTTTAATATACTTACTTTACCGTCTACTACTTACTTTAACATAGCACAAATCACCAAATCCGAGCACCCCTCTCCAAATAGCTTTTCGCACAAAAGATCTTCGAGCAAAAATACAGCTTCCGATTGGTCATAAATTAATTCCTAATCAAAAATAAAGTTTGTTTTTGTCATGCTTAGTATATTATGATACGTTAAAGCCCTTGAACTTTTTTGGGTTAAACAGGCTCGTTATTTGTGTACCTAAAGCTGTTGTCGGACGACCATATTGTGTCAAGCCCTGCAACTAATATAATATATATATATAATAATATTATTACTATTGATTTCACCTGACTGTATTTTTGTCTTTCCGTTTTTTATCGATGTCATTCTGATTATAATTCTTCTTATTATTATCTTATTGAAATACATAACGTGCTGCAGTCGTGCTACGACCCCATTTTCGAACATAAATGCAATATTATAAATAAATTATTGATATCGAAATGGCACAAAGTTATTTTTAGAGAACAGCTTACGATGGATGAAAATGGGAGAGAATTAACTTGTCGGGAGATTTCTCAGAAAAAAAAAACAGTTTTATGTCTGCTCGAATGTGCGACAGGCAAACTACTTGGTGTGTCACCGTTTGACGGCTCTAGTCATGGCACTGAGGTGACAAACTAGCCGTTATCAGAAGTGCTTGCGCTTTTTCTCGCGAGCAGAGTCACGAATGTGTTCCGCTACGTTCACATTTGACTAATACCCCACGCGGACAGTGTAAATTCCTCAATCATTTGTCTCTAGCGTATTACGGGACCATCCGTGATATTGAGACGTCACAGCATAAGCAAACTATCATATATTCACCCTCACTTCGCGTCAGAACACCCATAAAATTATGCAAAATAGGTTGAGAGAACGACTTCACTTATTTATCTGACTTTGGAAATCCGGTCACCGCACCCCATCACCCTGGATCTAATAAAGAAGAAATTTGGCAAAACCTTGACTAAAAATACTCATTTTATAATGAAATAGGACTGTAGAAAATTCGAATCAACTAGTAATCTGAAAAAAAAACTTCAGCAAATCTGAGTATGTAGAAAGAATTGACATTTTCAAGTAAACATTGTAAGTGGGTTTTAAAGTTGGAGTGTGATGAAAGTATCAGCTACTTTCGACTTCTATCACTTTGGAAAAAACAACATAAGCGAATATGACTATTGCAACGTACTTTTTTATTTTAATATCATATGGTGCTGTACAGCAAATCTTACTTATGAACACGTTGAAGATTGGAAAGGACGCGGTGATCAGTATAACAAGAACTTTTTTAGACAACTAAAACGTTTCTCTTTTTGAGTCAAATTTACATAAAAACTAGACTCCCTTTCCCCCTTACAGAACTTGAAATAGTAGAGTAAGACACTTGGATCGCCATGGTAAATATCGAAGATACTTTGTGTAACAAAAAGGGTACTGAGATAGTTTCGCTTTTAGAATTTACCTACTGAGCAATTACATTGAATTCATTATACTTTTTCTTTTACCATCACAATTTCATTCACAATATTTCTTTGATCCATTGACTGCTTTTTGGGTGAATTTGAAGATTTCTTTTGACCTTTCTTTATGCTTTCTGAAGATTTGGAATCAGATTCTTTTCCCGTAGTTTGCTTTTGATTTTTAGGTATTTTAATGTCAGGAGGAGGATTTGTGTTGCGATTCACCTTCACTATCAAACGAGTGTGTGTTGGGTGTAGAATTGTTTTCATTATGGTTGTTTCGAGATTAGCAAGTCCGTCCAATGGCATTCTAGTTCGTGCTGATTTCAAGAGTTTGTGACGAATTAGATTGGTCGGATTACCGTGGTCTCTAGTATGACGAATCATTTTATATCTGGAAATGATAAAAAATTAGTATATGAAGTATGAATGCTGAGGAATACGAACTTTTAATTGAAAGGTAAAAAATTATGAGAAAAATCGAAATGAAACTCGATTAAAGTGGACTAATCTAGATATTTTTAATTATCTTTTTCGGCGCAAGTGTGGGAGGAATGGTCAAGCTAAATATAACGTATTTATTATGTTCAAGATTTATAATTTTCTACCAACTAGTGTTACATGACAGAATTCATGCTTACGATGTTATAGCACAATGTCAAACGTTAGAGATTCTGAATAGAGCAGACCGAGCTTAGTTCGATGGCCCAGAAATTGGGGCAAGTGGGCGTGGTGGCCCGGTGTTTAGAGCGTTCGACTTAACTATGATGGCATCCCAGAGGACTGTGCAGGTCATTGTTCGGGGCTGGAAGCATATAAAAGATCGGGTAGGTAATGACATACTGTAATAGGCTCATATTATTTTGATCGATCTGATCCATCATGTACTCGTCTCAGAAGAGAAGGTATCAAAAAAGGATAGAAAATCATAAAATATTCTTGCGGCATATACCTTCCGAAGGGTTGCTTTGGTCTTAGTCTTCGTAATCCATTCAGCCGTATTCGGACATTCATATCATCATCTTCTCCTCCCCACCCCCAGTAGACATTGGAATATCCATTTACAACTTTATATTGCCATTCAGTAAATCCAACAGCCCCACCAACTGTTACGCCTATCTTTGGTGATGAAGTATAATTGAATTTATCGATATATGGAGAAAAATGTAAAATCATCGTTTCATCTGGAAAATGATATAAATTTAGTTATATTACACAATGGCCGTAACTTATGTTTTAGCCAGTAAAGTACACGATTTGCAAGTGAAAAAGACGGAGTCTAATTATATGTTGTCCGGAGTCGGTAGTCGAAGTCAAAATGCAACCAGTAGTCAGAATTCCATAGTCATTGAGATCGGGAGTTGGAGTCAATAATAATAAGGTTTTTAAGTGTCATCGTTAAAAGCTTTTCATTCTTGAATTGGCGGGATTCGATGTTCGAATAGCGTGTTTCTCCGATAGAGTGTGCTGTCATGATGTTTCTACAATCACATTTGACAGAGTGATTACAATGTTAGAGCGATAAACGGCATTTTACAAGCTGTGTAAATAACCGTAATAAAGTGAGATAGTTCTTGTGCTTTATATTATAAAATATAGCAAACAAAACACGGGCTACGCTTATTAGCCATTCCATTAGTCGCCAAAAATCCAAAAGGTGTTTATTCTTGTTGGATTGTAAAAAGAACATGAATTAATTTGTTTCCGGCTTGAACAATGCTGGGACATCATCACTTGCTTATTTCAAAAAATTGGTAAAAACACACAGAGCTGTGAATGGGAACCAGCAGATAAAACGGAAGGAATTTATATTCACTTCGGTCTGGAATGTTCACAACTTGCGCGCGAGTTGGTAAAACATTAGAACTTACCTGTACACTTGTATAAATTACCCACTATTTCAGGAATCATATCTACGTCATGAAATACAAAGCAATCCCATTTTATCGAAGTATTTTTCACTGCCCAATTGAAGCCTGTATTCATAAGCTGGCCTTTGTTAAAAGTGCCGTTGCCTTCTTGCTCAACGACAATGATTCGGAAACGTAGCTGTTGCTCTATCAATGTACCGATTGTGTAGTGGAGAAAGTATCTGGAGAGAACAAGTGTTAAGACACTTGAATCACGTGAATAGTTATCTTTATTCTTACTACATTATTGCAGAGAAATAGAGCAGGGAAATGTAGTCTCGCGTACCACCAACTGGCAATTTTATTGTTGACAAACACTACAGATGTTTTTGCCGACAACGAAAAATGTTGGAGTATACCTAACCTGTACCTAATTGTAGTAACACGGCTCATTCTAGCTTTTTAGGACTGGGAAGTGGCAAAGATCATTTGTAGCTTTCAGGGATCATCTGACTGAATAAACATCATATTCGTGTGTGGAGTCACATACTTACAAGTTTGAAGTACAATGGTTGATCGATCGTGACGGATGTTTTTAAATAAAATATTTCAATACAACCCATAAGTGATGACTAGTTTCATTTGTCAGATACCAAACGATTCGGGCTTACCTTAATAATAAGCCATATATCGTTTTCAATATCAAATGATCAAAAGTTAGACTATTCATAGGTGTCGCTGCTCGATAACCAATACTGGTTTATCGCGTCCCCTTTCACCCTGAAATGCATTGTTTTCCTCTCTTTTCTTATCCCGTTCTGTATGTACACTGTACAGTGTGTATTTCTTATATGGTGATAAAATAAACTACTGATTACCACTCACCTGAGGTGTATTTTCCTGTCTCGAAATGGTATGATGATAACCGTCGAATGTCTTGGTTTTCTACAATAAAAAGGTCCAGGATAATATCCTCCTGGATGTAACTGGGGATAGTTTTTGCTAATTCCGTCCAGTGTAGGCGGGTCTATATCAAGTCGTATAGTTGGACCGAATATCAAATCCGCCGGTTGACGAAAACACGGTGGATTTTCTGACTCATCCGATTGTAATCCAGGAAAGGGACTCAAATGACTGGTATTTTGTGCATTGTTAGCAGGAGTATCATTTTTGATGATACAAACGTCGAAATTCGCAACTATGAATGTATGTAGTTCTGCATAGCGGTTCGGGTCCTCCAGCATCATTTCCAGCTGCGACATGATATTTCTGTCACGAAACAACCTCCATAAGCATGGTCGATCCATCTCGCTCGTCCTCGGCGTTAAAATGGACGCAAGAAAAGCGATATAAGGTGGAGGTAAGGAAGGTTCGGTATAGAGTACCTTTATCAAGAATCCTTTTGTTGGTAAAAATCCAGCAGCATAAATAATTTGGATTCCGATGTAGACTGCCGTTACGATACAAAACAACAAACATATTGATGTGTTTTTACTTGGCCCCATCCCCGTCCTGGAGTAATCCAATTTGGAAATTCTGATTAATGACTTCGACATGAACGCATTTTATTTGATTTGGCAATTTGCAGTAAAGTAATTCTGAGCCGACACTTTTACTTTCTTCGTCCTCCAATGATAATACCGAAATAATTGCAGCGTCTTGTCTTGTGAAAACACATGGCAAAATTCGTGCGATTGTTGAAAAAAATTACCATTGTTACGAAACATACCACATTGTTATCAATGATGTTATCAATGATGTCTCACGACAAGTTGGGGATCGCGGCAGTTGAGCATGGCCGTTGAATTTAGCTCTTATTATATGGCGACCATTAGTGAAGAAAACGCTTGTCGTCACATATGCGGGGGTTGTCGTGGTATCATGTACGAAACGATCGCCATCGCAGAGTAGTTTACGTAACTTTTTGTCGTTTAAGGCTCCAAGTTCATGAAACTGGACGAAATAGTCAAGTGCGGATCTTGGGGGGCGAGAAAAATAATAAAGAAAAAACACGAAATTGATACCCTTTGACATTCAGCAAATACGTTCCATTCGAGATATCATTGGTATTACGTTCGTCGAATCGATTTTAGATGATGAATTTCGAAAAGATGGGTAATCAGTGGCAATCTTATCTGGTGAGTAGTTCCCAGCGCGTAGCTGTGACAACGACATACTTTCAAAAATGGATGTTTGTTGTGCATGTCATCGTTTCTATTTACAAATAGATAATATCTGCAAAAAGACCTAAAAACTGATATCATTAACCTATACTGTACATGCATAAGAGTATTTTCTTGGCATGGAAGCACCATTCTCAATCTATGGACCTTTCCCCGAGCAACGACTTCCTTGTTTACTTCCTGACATTGGCCAATCAGCAAGATGCAAAAAGTGACGTAACAATGCTCCTCTCACTCAGACAGATTTTCAAGCGTGATCGTAAACATTACCTCGTTTTCGCGTTTTTGAACTCTATTCGTTAGTTTTTAGTCATGTTTCGGAAACTTAAATATGATCTCTCTGTCTTCTTAGAAGTTTTAATTTTATTCATCAGTTTCACCTGATGCATCATGGGTTGTAGGAGTAATTAAATGGACGTTCAGTTGTAGGCCATAATCTTATATAAAAGTGTTTTGATTTTTTTGTAGTCAAATCATTACTGTTATTATTATTGCTATTTATTTTTATATATTTCAGATCCATCCCACCAAACTATCTAGATCTCTCAAAGCATAACAATCAAATGGCAAAATGTTTGACTCCTGAGATCTATGCCAACCTCTGTAACAAAACTACTCGGTAATAAAAAAAATGAGTGTAGAAGCTGTTATAGGGAGAAAGAGATGAGATGCTGATGATGGGATAAAGACTATCACCCTATATGTTTAAGTTCGATTCCCGCGTTATTGTTTTGACACGCGTTATGGAATGTGACTCCAATCTGGACTCCTTCAGACGATAATAAGCACACAGTGTTGATGCTAATCGTTGTTGTATATTATAGGAAGATGCACAATCCAAATTCCGAAATCAGATAAAATTGAGACACACTTAACTCTTAACACAGTAAATCAGGAGTGAATCAAAACACATCACACTTAACGCAGTAAAACAGAAGTGGATCTACACACAATATTATGCAGCCCTCTCGGCAAGCCGGAACGATACGTCATCAAATTGGTCGATACGAGAAATGTAGTACATGTAATCAGTAATCAGTGTTGCTACAATAAAATGACATATTGTGGGAAATGGAACACACTATTAAAATGAAAGGGTTAAATACATTATAATTCATAGTTACACAATGCACATTCGCTACACAATTCCCCCTCGACAGTAAAAAAAATTAACTTGATAATTTTTTAAATTTTGGAGTCCGGCCGCCGAGAGATGAAGTGAAAGAAAACAAAATAACACGAATTAATAAAAGATATTAGTACGATATAATGAGTAATGGTTAAGGTATACAAGAGAATATACGCCGTTTACGAGAGAAAACAAAATACGAGAAAAAAAATCAAAGGGTCTCTCTCTATGTTGCTTAGAAATGCTTAACATTTTAAAATGGAATTGTAACGAAATAGTAAACAAAATGGCGACAATACTTGAAAGAAAGGACCTAAAAGAATGTAAAACACTTTGATGTTTAAAGGAAGGGCCTGAGAAGAAACAAATGTCGGATTTAGTACTTGATAATTAAACCGAAATTGGTTTGGTGTTTAAGATTGTAAAATTGGCGTTAGAGGTTATTTGAAATAAAATAATAAGTGAGAAAAAATCCTGTAAATTGAATAATGAGTAATTTGACAGATTATTGAACCATTGAATCCCTGAAATTGAACCTGAATCAAATTCTGTATGAAGTAAAAGAACTCGTGATATCTAAAAAACAAGGCATTGATTGATAACAAGTAATTACACAGAAAAGAAAACTGACACTGCACAATTATTTTATTTGTATGTTTTTTTTTTGTTATATTTAAATTTTTATACTAAGGTGTTTTGATGTTTTATAGTGGATAATAATAAGAGAAAAGTAATAAAATACAAAACGATTAAAGTGATAAAATACAAGATGATTAATAACGAGGCGACACATTGCGAGATACACACCATATACAATTCGCAACGACTGCCGGAATCGAGTTGACTTAATAGGTTGGGGATAAATTAAATGGTTGTTACAGTCAAACTTTTGACTCAATTTGAGCTTGGGTGCTCGCATCTGAGAAGTTGTTAGCATTTTCCATCGATTCATCGTCAATTTCGACATCGGATAACTGGTGTATTTCTTGTTGTTCGTTGAATTGTACTACGGTTTGTCGTGGTATGCTGAGAAGTCATTGTATTGGTTGCAGCAATCCATTTGTTAATGTACGGCGAACGGACATTCGGCAGTTTGGCAAGCTTCGATAAAGCAGGGGTACAACGGATAAAGCGTAAATGAGGCCAAATAGCGGCCACGCCTTTATGACGTAATCTGACAATGTCTTGGCAGTTGTCATTTACGTTTAAAACAAAGCCATTCTATGCACAATAGACTTCGTTTGATTCAATGCAAGATTTCGTTAGTTGAGAACAAGTTTCGAAGGTTTGCAATGATCGGTATTTCCAATCGGTAAGATTGCCCGATACATTGTAATACAACAAGAATTCGGTAGTGTTGAATTAGGAAAGTTGCGAGCTCTACAAGCTTTCGTATCTTCAACCATTCCAAACAAATGTAAACACACCTTTCCGGCAAAAACCAGAATTGGGTGCGCATTGGCTGAGGTATTTGAACGTGTTTTTGGTTGCGCTTGACGAAGAACAGCCATTAAATGGTTCGCCAGTAGGTCGTTGTACGTTTACAAATCTTGGGTATCACATTGTAAGAAGGCAGATGTCTCGTACATGTTTGCTGAACAATTCTTCATTGTATGAAGTTTGTGTCGGTTACAAATTTGCGTATGTCGTAGTCTGTCCATGTAACGATTTGTGACATAATTTCAGTGGTCCCTCAACGGCTTGCGTACTCATACAAAGCATGACAAAGCAAAGTATTGTGTAGTAAATATGGTCATCAGATATCCATCTGAAATTCGCGTGATAGAATAAAGTCTTGCTTAAATGGCGTGGGGAGTTTTCTCAGCCTTCGCGGCGATTTGATTGTTGCTGATTTAACATTTTCGGAGACGGCCCCAGTCGAATGTGCTGAATCTGTAAAAATGAATTTCTGCATCGCAATTTGATCGTTTCGTGCTTGTATCGGATATCGTATCATTATTATTTGAAATATTGAAATTGAAAGTCCGTGGGCGCGAAACAGTGACATCGCTCGCCGGTCGTTCATTTGATTTGGCGCCAAGATTCCTATCCTCAATATCTGCATGCCATAGGTCAGAAGTTGGTAGGTGTGCAACTTTTAAGTTGTCAATTGAACATTCATACGGCTTTGAGTTCCGGTCGACGATAAAATGCTTACTTCCACGTTTTAAGACCTGGAAGGGTCCTTCATAGAAGTTTTCCAGTCCTTTTCTTGATCGACTGATTTTGATAAAAACATGGCTACAATTTCTCAAGTCCTTTGGTATATAAGTTTTCCTTGAAGGCTGTTTGCGTGTTGGATTTGAACAGAGATTTCTGAAAAATCTCTTAAGTTTATTTACATATGTATGAGGGTCAGTATTTGTCGCGTCTGGTTGCGGTTCCACAAACTGTCCTGGAAGGCGTAATGTTGATCCGTAAACTAACTCAGCAGGACTGAAACCCAAATCTTCTTTAACAACTGATCGAATACCAAGTAATACAAAACCCAAATTCGGAAACCAGTCAGATGGATGTTCACAAGCTCTAAGAGAAGCTTTAACAGTTCGATTGAGACGCTCAACTAAAGAATTTTCTTGAGGACGATATGGCGCTGTCAATATATGTTTTGAACCAAGGAATGTCATGAAATCTTTCCAAGTTGTTGATGTAAATTGCGGTCCATTATCTGTAATAACGGTACTAGGAGCACCAAAATGGCTTATATAATTATTAGTGAAAGCGTGTACGATTGTATTAGTCAAACTGTCCTTCAATGGAACACAAATTGGATATCTTGTATATCTGTCAATTATCATAAGCAAATAAACATAACCATGAGATTGGGGGAGTGGTCCAAGTAAATCTACGTTGATAGTGCTAAAACGTTCATCTGGAACTTTGATGTTTTTCAATTCTGTGCGTATGTGTCGTTGAACTTTTGCTTTCTGGCATCGTATGCACTCACGAACAAACTTACGGATGTCTTTACTCATATTCGGCCAGACATAACTGTCTTTTATAAGTTGTTGAGTTCCTGATATTCCTGGATGACACAAATTATGAGTTAGGTTGATAATACGATATCGTAATGAAGTTGGAATATATGTTCGAGGTTTGCCAGCAGGCTGACGTCACAAATAATGTTTCCCGCCAATCCTGGGACTGGAAATTGTACTAACTGTAGAGAATGCTTGCTTGCGTTCGTTAAAAGTTGCTTTAGCTCGTGGTCGTTTTGTTGTGCGTTATAGATGTCAGTTAACGGGATAATTTCCTGTTGAGGTACAATGGCATTTATTCCACCATGCTCTGCGGGGTGAATTTCAATTCGGCTCAATGTGTCCGCTGCGATATTCAATGCACCGGCAATGTGTTTTACTGTGAAATCGAAAGTTGAT